ACTAGTGTGAAAATATGTTCAATAGGAAAGTATATGTGTAGCCTATATCAGTTTGTGCGCTATCTGGGGAAGGGAGGGGAGAGGGAAGGGGAGAAAAATTTAAAACTCAAAAGCTTATGGAAAAGAAAGTACAAAGGCTAACAGGGGAAAATGCCTCCTTCAAAGTTAGAATTAGCAGAGAGGATTCTGGGAAGATGGTGGAGTAGGTCAGAAAATTCCAAGCTCTCAAGATTTTCCCCTCAAAAGAGACAAACTAGTACCTTAGGGCAAACAAAGTGCCAGTAACAATAAATCAGAATAGAGGCACACCAGGAATCTTCCTGGGACAATTCCAGAAGATGAGAAGAACATTTCCCAGATGGAATTGGCCCCTGTGAAGACTAAACCCCTCAAGGCTAGGGGCTGTATTAACATCAAGCTGCAAGCTGCTTAAACAACAAGCCACAAACCCTGGGGTTAGCTGATTTGGGAGGCTGCCTCGGCCCCAGCTCCAAGAACCTTTACCCCTCAAATTGTGAGCGCAGTAGAGCTTCTGAGCCAGGAAGATCAAAGGAACCTCTGCTGACAAAGAAGGCCAGAGCCAGCTGTGACGCAGAGAGCTGAGGGGGCGAGAAGGAACCGGCCACGCCCACCTGGTGAGCGCAGAAGCAGTGGCACAGAAGGCCCCTGGCTGTGGGCACTGACAGGAGGCTGCAGGTTTGGCTTTGGTTCCAGGCCAGGGGGGGGAGAACTAAAGAGCTGGGGCCAGAGGCACCATCCTCCTACCCCAGGGCTAGAGGTGATTACCCAAAGGAAGCTATTGCTACAAAAATTCACAGGCAGAGGAGAAAGAATCCAACCACAGAGAACTATTGTGGGAATAGAGAAGAACGGGTTTCATCTTTAGAGGAGCATACTGAAGCAAAAAATCCCCTCCTGGCCCAAAGAATAAGGTCAAATGGTCACCTGCCCAAAACGAATTCACAGAAGAACTTAAAAAAGACTTTGAAAATCCAAGGAGAGGCCGGTCTGGCCAGCAGACTCCTGGACTCGTCTGCATAGAGTCGCAGAAGCGGAAGCTGAGCGGGGCAGCGGCGATGGCGGAGAGTCCGACTGCGGAGGTGGCGACTGCCGGGGCCAAGGGTGAGGGGACCTCCGGTGAGGGGGCTGAGGTCTCCGGCGCCGGCGGCAGCAGCAGCGGCGGCTTCGGGCCACCTGTCCTACCAGACGTGTGGGCGGGGGCGGCGGAGGCGGAGGCGGAGGTGGCGGGGGCGGAGGTGGCGGAGGCGGAGGTGGACCCGGAGGTGGAGGCGGAGGTGGACCCGGAGGTGGAGGCGGAGGCCGAGGCCGAGGCGGAGGCGGGCGACTCGGGTGGGCCGCGGGGACACCTTGCCCAGCTGCCCGGGCTCCCGACCTCGGCCTCTGCCTGCCTGGCCGTGCCGCGCAGTCCCCCATTCTCCTGGGACCCGACGCGGAGCTCGGACTGGGACAGCGAGCGCCCTGGGCCGCAGTGCCTGCTGCGGATCAAGCGGGACATCACGGCCCTCTACAAGGAGCCGCCCCCCGGCGTGTTTGTTGTGCCGGATCCCCTGGACATGACTAAGATCCATGCATTGATCATGGGCCCGTTTGACACTCCTTATGAAGGGGGCTTCTTCTTGTTCCTGTTTCGCTGTCCTCCAGATTATCCTATCCGCCCACCGAGGGTCAAACTGATGACCACGGGCAATAACAGGGTGAGTTTTAACCCCAACTTCTACAGCAGTGGGAAAGTCTGCCTGAGTATTCTGGGGACTTGGACTGGCCCTGCCTGGAGCCCAGCCCAGAGCATCTCCTCCGTGCTAATCTCCATCCAGTCACTAATGAATGAAAACCCCTACTACAATGAGCCTGGCTTTGAGGAGGAGAAACACCCAGGAGACAGCGAAAAGTACAATGAGTATATCCGACATGAGACCATCCGAGTGGCAGTCTGTGACATGCTGGAGGGAAAATGTCCCTGCCCTGAGCCCCTGAGGGGTGTGATGGAGAAGTCCTTTCTGCAGTATTATGACATCTATGAGGTGGCGTGCAAAGACCGACTATACCTCCAAGACCGTGAAATGCAGGAACCTTTTGGGGAGAATCGAGGTACCTTTGACTATGAGTTTCTCTTGATTCGCCTCGGGGCAATTCGTCTGAAGGTGCAGGAGAAACCTCAGCAGGACAGTGCTGAAATAGACTCAGATAGCACTTCATCTAAAACAGAGACAGATACGCAGGGGAGCTCAAGGGCCTAGATGCCCCCACCCCATCCCTGGGATTGAGTGGCACCACATCTCCCTCCAGCCCCAACAGCATCCTGCCTGAGGCAAGAACCAAGGATAGGTAGACCCCAGGGTGGGAGTGGGCTATTGTTTGCAACCTTCTTAGCATCCTAGTACCAACGACCATTTTCATCCCATGCCTAGGGCCAATCCCAAGGGACTGATACAGGAGAGTCTGGAGCATGGTTCTTTGGTGAAAACCTGAGGGACATTTCCACTGGTGCAGCTTGTTGGGGATAGAAGGCAAAGACTGCAACTCCCAGAGGGGGTTGCTCAGAACAGTCTATGGGGATACCAGGAGGCAGGGCAGGGTCAAGGGAGTGGGGAGGGAGGGAAATGGGGAGGGTGTCACATGACCTGTCCAGGTGGTTGGCTGGGTGTCTGTCTTTCAGTCTTGAAGCTGGGCCTTCCCCTTGCTTACCCAGCCCAGCCTAGTGTAACCTCCTGGAGCTCATTTCCTGTCTGCCACCATAATTTTGTTTTCCCTAATATATAGTCACTGTTCTAGACAGACCAAAGAGAAGGAACAGGGGTGGAGTCTGGGCTACTGGTCAGAAAGCTTTACCTAGCACCCGCCCAAAAAAAAAAATCAAATGAGAGAGATGGAGGAAAAAAGCAAAAAAAAAAATGAGAATAAGCCAAGAAAAACAAGAAGACTATGAAAGTCAACCAGTTAGAAAAGGAGATCCATAATCTTAAGGAACAAAATGACACCTTGAAAATTAGAATTGGGCAAGGCGAAGCCAGTGAAATTATAAGAGATCAAGAAATAATTAAACAAAATATGGATAATGAAAAAATAGAAGATAAAATGAAACATCTTACAAGAAAACAGATCTAGAGAACAGATCAAGAAGAGAAAACATGAAAATAAGTGGATTAACTGAAAGCTATGATCAAAAAAAGAATCTTGATACACTAACACAAGAAAAAATTAAAGAAAATTGTCCTGAAGCATTAGAACAAGGGGAGGAAAGTAGAAATAGGAAAAAAATCCATCAATCACCACTTAAAGTATACCCTGTGAGGAAAACTCATTGGAATATTATAGTGAAATTCTGAAACTCCCAGCTCAAGAACAACATATTAAAAACAACAAGAAAAACAATTTAAATATGATGGTGCCACAATTACAATCACAGAACACCTAGAAGCCGAGACCTTAAAGGACCACAGGTCTTGGAACACTATATATCAAAGAGCAAAAGAACTGGGGTTCCAGCTGAAAATATCATACCCAGCAATGTTCAGCATAATACTGAATGAAAAAAGGACATTTGATCAACTGTCAGACTTTCAAGATCTTGTTGGAAAAAAAAACAAAAACAAAAACAAAAACACCTGAAGTTTATTGAAGTTTCAACATAGAAAAGCCAAGAGAAAAATAAGGTACCTACCAAAGACTGATTATGAGGGATTCATTAAGGACAGACTATTTACTTCTTATGTATGTAAAACATGAAATATATGTCTAAGATTCTTATTAATAATTGGGTAGCTCAAGAAATCTCCAGAGGCCTTGTGATCGAAAATGCTATCCAAATCCAAAGAAAGAACTATGGAAGTTGAATTACTTTTTTTTTCTCTTCTGTTGAGTTTTGTTTCCTCTTTCTGATGGTTCCTCCTATTGGTTTTAATTTTTACTTACAACATAATTAATGTGAAAATATGTTTAATAGGAATGTAAATGTATAGCCTATATGAGATTGTGCACTGTCTTGGGGAGGGTGGTGGGGAGGAAGTGGGAGAAAAATTTTAAACTCAAAAGCATATGGAAGTGATTATTGATAAACCAAAATAAATTAATAAAAATAAACAAAAAAAATGGGTACCTCATAAGAAAGATTTGAGTAGACCTGTATATATGACTTTAAAAAGTAAAATCATTTAGTAACAGCTAAAAAGAGTAGTTATTTTATACAAATGAGGTGCAAGAGGAAGAATCGATTCAGGGGAATTAGATGGGGGAGGAGGGCTGGTAGTTCTGGTAACCTACTAATGGGTTTAAAAGGAAACTATGGGTGTGTGTGTGTGTGTGTGTGTGTGTGTGTGTGTGTGTGTGTGTGTTTAGAAGAATATAAAAGACTTCTAAGTTTAGAAGACATAAAATGATGATGAGATAGGGAGGAGGGAGAGGACAAGGGAGGGTTCACTAAAGGAGGATTAGAAAATAGGGTACAAGGGCCCATTTATGGGAATGGGAGGATAGGAGAGGGATACTTGGAAGGGGGTCGGCTAAGTAATAGAAGGGCAAGATAAGGAGTATAAATAAAGTAGAGGACTCAGGAGGGATAAAAAACAAGAGACACGCACCAACATAAAGATCAGGTGTAGAATTTGGGAATGCATATGTGTATATATATAAATATATATGTGTACATATACATATATATATATGTATATATGTATGTATATATTTTTAGCCATAGAGAAATATATCTACACTCAGTTGTAGCCTTCTGGGGCAGGGGAGGGAAAAAAAGAACAAAGCAAAAAGTTCATAGCAGAGAACAAAAGAAATCTTATAAGGAAGCAAAGAAAAGGTAGACAGGTCTCAATAAAATGTGTGATATTAATCATACAGACTTTCTTGAAATGAAGATTTCTTGTTACATGTTTTGAATCCTCTCTTATGTTCTGCTATGCACATGACATACTTTTTTTTCTTTTCTTCCTCTCCAATTAAGTTCCAATATTTAAGTTTAGGATATGTTTTTGTTTGCTTTTCTCTGTTCTGTGGGGGCAGCTACATGGTGCAGTGGATAGAGCTCTGGCCTTGGAGTCAGGAGGATCTTAGTTCAAATCTGGCCTCAGACACTTGACACTAGCTGTGTGACCCTGGGCAAGTCACTTAACCCCAACTGCCTCACCAAAAACCAAAATGACAAAAAACAGAACAGTTAGAATTGGGCAAGTAGAAACTAATGACTCTGTGAAACACCAAGAATCAATGAAACAAATTCAAAAGAATGAAAAATTAGGAGAAAATGTGAAATACCTCATTGGAAAAAAAATGATCAGGAAAATAGATCCAAGAGAGACAATGTCAGAATCACTGGACTGCCTGAAAGTCATAATCAAATGCAAGACATGCACAGTATCATTCAAGAAATTATTGAAGAAACTGCCCTAAAACCCTGGAACCAGATGGCCAATTAGCTACTGAAAGAATCCACTAATCACCTCAGGAAAGAGTTCCCCAAATAAAAACTCCAAGGAGCATTATAGCCAAGTTGCAGAACTATCAAATCAAGGAAAAATAATGCAAGTGGCCAAAAAAAAGGCAATTCAACTATCAGGGAGCCACAATCAGGATTACACAGGACTTAGCAGCTGCAAAATTAAAGGATCAGAGTTCATGCAACATGATATTCAGGAAGGCAGAAAAGCTAGTCCTACAACTAAGAATCACCTACCAGGCAAAATTAAGCATAATACTGTAAGGGAAAAAGTGGTCATTCAGTGAAAGAGATGGATTTCAAGCTTTCATAAGGAGAACACCAGAACTGAACAAAAAAATCTCACCCCTAAATGTCAAGAGCTAAGAAAATTCTAATAAGGGAAAAAGGAAAAAGGGAATGTAAGGGATTCAGTGGAGATGACCTGTTTACATCCCTACATGGAAAGATAATACTTGTAATTCTTAAAAATTATACCACTAATAGTACAGCTAGAAAGAATATACATAGACAGAGGGTGTGCGTATGACGCGAATTTGAGGTAAGGACATAAAAAATAATTAAGGGATGAGAAAGAGGACCAGTGCAGAAGGAAGGGAAAGGCAGAAGGGGGTAAATTATTTCACATGAAGAAGAGTGAAGGACCTATTACAGTGGAGAGGAAAATGGGATGGAGGGCAATGGGCATCAGCTTGAACCTTACTCTCATCAGTATTGGCTCAAAAGAGGGAATGATATACACACAGTTGAATATAGAAATCTATCTTACCACACAGGAAAGTAGGAAGTGAGGAGATTAAGTAAAGGCAGGAGAACAGAAGGGAAGTGACAGAAGAGAAGTCAGATCCAGGAGGTGGTAGAGAGAAGCAAAGCACTGTCAAGGACACAAAGAGTAAGAAGAGAGAGAGGACAAACAGGAGGAAAAATAGGATAGAAGGAAACACACAGTTAGTAATCATAACTGTAGATGTAAATGGCTTGAAATTTCCTATGAAAAAGAAATGAATAACAGAATAGATCAAAAACTAGACTCCTACAATATGGTGTTTATAAGAAACACACTTGAAGCAAAGAGATACACACAGAGTAAAGGTAAGGAGCTGGAGACAGATCTATCATGCTTCAAGTGAAGTAAAATAAAAGAAATAAAAAGCAGGGGTAGCAATCTTGATCACAGACAAGGCAAAAGCAAAAAGACCTAACAAAAAGAGATAAGAAAGGAAACTACATCTTGCTAAAAGGTAACACAGACATTTAAGTAATTTCAATACAAACATAAATGCACCAAGTGGTATAGCATCCTAGTTCTTAAAGGAGAAATTAAGTGAGTTACAGGTTCATCAATGAACAAGAGATAGAGAGCATCACGGGATTTAAAATAGATCATTTTGGTTATATTTAATTGAAAAGCTGGTCTTTCCCTGCTGAAGCCCCCAGACTTAACTGTGTTTCTCTCCAAACGCGTGTGATACATCTTTCTAATCAACCATCGAGGTTCTCTTGGGCTGGAAATTTGTTTCACTCTTGTCTATTTGTGGGTACAGCACAGGAATAAATGGAGCTTTTTAAAAAATGATAAGTAGTACCTCTCAAAAACCATCAGCAAGTAGTATTTGTAATGGGGATAAGATGGTAGCCTTCCCAATAAGTTCATGACTAAAACAAGGGTACCCATCATCACTGCTGTTATTTAACATTGCACTAGAAATGTTTGCTATAGCAATAGGAACAGAAGAAGAAATCGAAGGAATTAGGTCAGGCAAGGAGAAAACAAATCTATTACTCTTTCTAGATGATATCATTATATACTTGAAGAATACTAGAGAATCAACTAAAAGAATTAGTTCAAGTAATTAACAAATTTAGCAAAGTTGCAGAATATAAAATAAACTCGAATAAATCATGAATGTTTTTATATATTAGCAAAAAGAAATCTGGCAAGATATACAAAAAGAAATTTCATTTTAATTAGACAATATAAATTACTTGAGAGTCTACCTGCCAAAACAAACCCAGGAACTCTATGAAAAGAATTACAAAACACTGTTCATACAAATAAAGTCAGACCTAAACAATTGGGAAAATACCATGTGTGCATATGTGGGCCAGATTAATACAATAAAGAAGACAATTCTACCTAAATTAATTTACTTATTAAATTACCAATTAAACTACCAAAAATTCTTTTATACAGCTAGAAAAATCATTTAAAAATTCATCTAGAAGAGCAAGAGGTTATGAATGTCAAGTGAATTAATTTCAAAAATGTGAAGGATGGTGGCCTAGATGCACAAAATCTGAAACTGTATAATAAATTTGTAATCATTAAAACTGTCTGGTATGGGCTAAGAAATAGAGTGATGAATCAATGGAATAGATTAGGAACAAAGGACATAGCAGGAAATGGCCATAATAATCTAGTTTTTAAAAACTTGAAGACCTAAGCTTT